AATAAGCCATAAGATACTTTCCTTTAGAATTCATACTCAAGGGAGGTAAAAGCCACAGAAAAGTCTAACCATAACACTTTAAATTATTGAATACCATTCTCTAATTACCTGTAACCAGCCACAAGATCTCTCCTGCTAACAATTAATATTCTTTCACATAGTTCTAAAACAGTAATCTTTCAGAGGGGATACCCCTTCTAGAATACACAGCCATTAATACTTTCACTTTCAAAATTTACCATTCTTTGTGAATTATCTCTTCACATATATTGTCCATTGTTAATTTGTATTTTTCTCACTGATTTATACTTTTTATATATTAAAAATGGTTCTTAAAAAACTGTGAAAATGAACGTGAGTGTTCAAAGTGGCATTACTCACAATAGATAAAAAATGGAAACAACTGTCTATCAACTTATGAATGGATTATCAAAACTGTGTTATACCCATACAATGGAATATTATTCAGTCATAAAAAGGAATAAACACCGATACATGCTTCAACATGGCTGAAGCTTGAAAAACATGCTAAGTGAAAGAAGCCATACACAAAAATGTATATGATTCCACTCATACGAAATGGCTGGGACAGACAACTCCACACAGACAGAAAACAGAATAAATGGCTATCAGGGGATGCAGGGAGGGGAGAATGAGGAATGACTACGGCTCATGACTATGGGGTTTTCTTTTTAGGGTGATAAAAATATTCTGGAATTAGACGGCAGTGATGGTACCACTAAATTGCACACTTCGAGGTCAAAAACGTGACACTATGGAATGTGCATTTTATCTCAATGAAGCTGTAAAAAAAAAAAAAACCAACAACAAAAGTGGTTATGGACTCCCCAGACAAATGCACATGCACATCACTAACAACTATATGAGGGATGGGGTGAGGTGGGGTAAAGGGGTGTGATATGATCTGGATTTGTGTGTCTAACCAAATCTCGTGTCAAACTGTAATCCCCAATGTTGGAGGAGAAGCATGGTGAAAGGTGATTAGATCATGGAGGCAGATTTGTAGTTCCAAGATTATCAGTTATTAAGAAACTGCAGAGAACTTCTACACTGAAATGAGAGATCATGTTCATTTTTTCCATCAGGATTACAGCCAAAAACAAACCATTATTTCTTGAAAACTTAGGTGAGGTCTCCAAGAGTTAAACAAACAGATTTATCAGCAAAAGGCTGAAAGAGTAAGATTATAATTTGAAACAGGCAAACTGTTTCATAACAGAAAATCTGGCATTTAATGCAGTCTGCAGAATACGGTATGCTAAAAACGCTACTTATGGCTTCTAGAGAGTCAAACCAGCCAAACAAAAGAACTAAAAAAGGTAGAAAAAGAAGCCATGTCAGCATTACAAAGCCACAAGAGACTGATATGAATTTTTTTTTTTTTTTGCTGAATTACAACTTTTTCACCATACTTTTGGTTTAAAAGCATAAAAAAATGTATGATAAAAACATTTTCTTTTTAGCCATTTTAAATTAGGAATTTATATTAATTCAAATTTATCCTAATTTAACAGGACTTGTATTTTTAAAAAAAAAAAAAACACATGTAATATTGAGGTCAACCAAGTTACTAACGTAGAAGACTATACAAGCTGATCAAAGTTCTTCTCTGCAACTCCTTCTGGAACAGATTTACTTTGGGTTCCTGAGTGAGTTGGCCTGCTACTAGGACAGACTAATGCTTCTTTACTTGAAATAAACATTCAGTCATGATTTCTACCAAAGAACTCATATTGAAAAGGCTTGGCTCACATCTTGATGTGTTGGCCAAGTAAAAATAAGCATGAAAACCTCAATGCAGATTGACTAGAAAATTATTCTAATTGTCCTTAGGTCTCTTTGCATTAAACATATAGTAATTGAATCTTTCTTTTGTAATCCTGTCAATTCTAAAATTTGAAAAGACCATGTCTGTTCAGCTTCTGTACTTTTAAGGGGGCTCTGTAAATTTAAAGTATTTTTAATAAAATATTTTAGACATAAAAAAAGATAAAGACTAGAACTCTAAAAATGCATAGGTCAAGAGTACATCACTATTAAAAAATATTAACATTGTCTAAGTGTATATAAATATAAAAAATGTAGACATTCATACATTTTACATTCATATACTGAGACTTTGCTGACAGAGTCTCCATTAACATTGAAGAACTGGGGGATGTGTGAGATGAGAAAATATAGAACTAATAAATATTAGCTTTTGTTTCTAGCAGTACTTACTGGTTCCATATTTTCTCATATTTTTAACAATGATATTCTGCTGACCTATGCATTTTTAAAGTTCTAATTAGTCTTGATCTTTTTTCACATCTAAAATATTTCATTAAAAATGCTTTAAATTTACAGAGCCCCCCTTAAGAGTACAAAAGCCAAACAGACACGATCTTTCACATCAAAGAACTAATAAAAGATGTCTGGCTAATAGACCAACATATAATTAATTAGAATACGTTTAGAGATTCTAAAACGGGTCAGTGGCATACAGTGATGATTGCCAACATTAAAATGCTTATTATTCAGATGGTAAGCCTAAGAGTAGAAAAAAAAAAGGCAGAGGGGTGCTCTTCTGGTTTTTAAACACAATGACTGTATCAAAAAACCTTACGTTTAGAAGAAACCTTTCTGTATTTTTCCTGCACCTGTTCCAGATAGCTCTTCTAGAATAAGCAGAACAATTCTATTTTCCACGTAACAACCTTCCTTTCCTGTTATTGTTCCCCAGGTCTACTTTTCATCCTCTCTTCTTCAGTCTACTGAATGACTGAACCCATAAGCCACTCCTCTACCTATGTACACAGTTTCTAGATACTCTCTCCATCCTAGCTATGCTTTTCTGGACTTTTCCATGATTGGGATGACTTAGATTATGTTAATATTTTTAACAACAATGATTACTTTTCACCTATGCATTTTTTAAAATTCTAATTCATCTTTATCTTTTTTCATATCTAAAATATTTTATAAAAATATTTTAAATCTCCTAACATATTACATAAAGGCAACTTTGGATATTTTCTATTCTATCTTTCATTTGGAGGTATTATACAAGAAACATTCAAGTACATAATTTAAAGAGTATTAAAAGGAAATTTCAAGGGATTATTTTTTTAAAATCCTTTTTCTTCATTCTTAACCTGGCTGGTCTCCTATGAAAACCATACTCTTTTCTTATTGGTCACACAACTTTTTAATTGAAAATATCACAGATAATTTTTGGATTTTTGTTACTGTCATTTTTTTTACACATTGTAGAAATTTTTCCATGCACCACAATGAGAGAAAAATAAACACCCAGATTCCATGATTATCAACATTTTGCCAATCCAGTTGCCACCTCTATCCTGTGCTCACCCCCTTTCTATTAGCCAGCAACACATTGTTTCATCTTCAACTTAAACACACACTATGTATTAGAGCCTATAATACAAAATGCCATATGCATTTTGCTTACCTCTTCTAGTCCTCAAAACAAACCAACATAACAGTCAAGCTTAATCCTGTATTATCCATGGTCTCTAGTCTCATAGCAACACTAATTTTCCTATTTCATGTCTTGACATGCATTGTTTTCAATACCTATACAAACGATGGGACTCTTATTCTAGAAATTGGATGTTCTACTTTCACTAGACATATTCCTGTTATGAATTTTTACAATATTGCTGACTGAGATTACTGTTTATGCAACTGTGGAGCAATTTTATAATTAAATGGGTCACTGACATGCTGGTTAATAAATTCTGGTAGATAGATCAGACAGTAGTCTGATAAACAACCTGCATGACCCGCAGGGTTTTAAAATTACTTTGCAAAAGCATTCTACCTAAAGAAAGGATGATGTAACAATATTAACAACTAGTAGTATCCATTTTTATTTTAAAGAAAACATATAGACTTTGCTTTCCCGGCATAATTTTAAAGAATCCACTGTTTGACTGTTCAACTTTAACATTCATGGCTGGGTGCCGGTGGCTCACGCTTCTATTTCCAGCACTTTGGGAGGCCTAGGTGGGCGGACCACAAGGTCAGGAGTTTGAGACCAGCCTGTCCAGTATGGTGAAACCTCATTTCTACTAAAAAATACAAAAATTAGCCAGGCATGGTGGCACATGCCTATAATCCCAGCTACTCAGGAGGCTGGGGCAGGAGAATTGCTTGAACCCAGGAGAAGTAGGTTGCAGTGAGCCCAGATCGTGCCACTGTACTCCAGCCTGGGTGACAGAGTAAGAACCCATCTCAAAAAAAAAAAAAAAATTCGTTAAATTTTAGCACCAATATGTTCAATTACTGTTTAATACATAACATGAGCTATTTCCAATCATTTTGAAAGAAAGCAAGAGTTAGTTGGCAAGTGCAGTAGCCGGCTTTAGCGAGTGACAGATCTTAGGAAACTATGTGATTTATAAATTATAAGAAATCCCTACAACATGCTAGAAAATTTAAAGGTTTGCAAAAGTGGTAAAGTACCAAATAATCACTAAGAAACAGAATTCCTAAGAGTAGCAAGTCATCATTATGAAGTAGTGAAAACCCTTCAAAAGGGCAAGAAAGAAAGCTAAATTTAAACCTTCCTAAAACGTAGTCTATAGACTCTTATCTGAAGAGTTGCTAAAACATTTCAATAAGGAAACATGAAAGAATCTGTAAAATTCTAGTGGATGACTGGGTTGACAGTGTAGGGGCTTGAGGAATGTAATAAGAGGGTTGGTTCTAAAGAAGGAGTAAAGAAGAGGGAGGTATGCATACTTCGCTTTTCATCAAACCACTTCAGACTTTCAAAAACCTTTTCACTTAGATTCGAACATAGTAAGCCTTACCCTAATTTTCCTCCAAAGACTAGAAGTGCAATTTAGCACTCTCTTTTATTTGATACAATATAAGAAGCTCTATAAAAGCAAAAGCAAGCAACAAAAACAAAAGGTGTTTTTTGTTGGTTTTTACATCAGGCATTAAGAGAAGCACCAAGTTTCAAAACTTACATCTGAACCCACATTTCTCATGGTACTCTGTAGGACTGGTTTAGTCACGGAAAGTTTTCCATTCACTTGGCTATTCGCTGAAGGGGCTGGTACCACATTCAACATGTGATTAGGTAGCTGTGTGACCCCCCCAGCAACAGCAAGGACTGGCTGAGCAGAGGGCAGAACTCCAGGTGCTTGAAGTTGTACCACAGTAGGCTGAGACAGCAAAACCGTCTGACCTGCATTAGAAAAAAGAACAACGATCAGAGGGTGCACAACTATTGTGGCAGGGGAAGTAGCTTATATTTAGGTCTCTTCTACAGATGTAATGGATAAGATCAACACCAAGGGATTTGGCACCATCAAGGTAAACACTGGATCAATAGCAGCACATGCTTACGGTAACTTTATTATGTTTTTAATGGGACCAACTAAATTCATCTCTTTGAGTTACCATGAACAATATACTTTAACATACTTTCTTATTTATCTTTGTCAACTAAACAACTATCAAATTTGCTGTAATCCCTAGATTTCTAAGAATTAACCTCTGAAACTTATTAGGGCTAAAAGGATTTGACTTATAAATAACAATTTTTTTACACTGAACATGGAGAACCATGTATTCTAAATTAATAGGATTTGCAAATGCATACAATACCAAAAACATATGAACTAGAAGGAGCTAAAGGCCAGGCACTGTGGCTCGCACCTGTAATCCCTGTGCTTTGGGAGGCCAGGACTTTGGGATCAGCCTGGGCAACATAGTGATATCCTATCTCTACAAAAAAAAAAAAAAATTAAAAATTAGCCAGGTGTGATGGCATGTGCTTCAAGTCCTAGCTACTCAGAAGGCTGAGGCAGGCAGATCCCTAAAAAGGGAAAAAAAAAGAAAGGACTACAAATACCAAAAACTTAAAATCATTTGAGATTAAATCTTAGCTAACAATCACATAAAGGTAAACATAAAGCTGTGATTTAAAATAGTCTGTAGATGATATCAGCCCTTTCCCTCTTCCCCAAAAAAATGGCCTTCAATTCTTCTGACTCTTCACATGTACGATTATTTTAAATTTATGTGAATCTGAGGAGAATTAGTAGAGGTTGAACATCCTTAATCAAAAAACCCAAAATCCAGAATGCTCCAAAACCCAAAATTTCTGGAGTGCCCTTACGACTCCACAAGAGGAAAATTCCACACCTCTGGTCCCAAGTATTTTGGATAAGGGATACTTAATCTGTAATAATGATAATGAAGATGATGTTGTTAACTGGGCAGAAAAAGTGCCTATAGATGACATGGTAAAAATGTGTGATGGGCTTCGTGAAGGACTCAAGCAGCATGCATTCATAACAGAAAAAGAAATCGTGTCAGTTTATAAAATCAAAAAGAGATTTCTAAGATAAAAACTACTTTAATGAGGCAGATGACTCCATAAAAAGCATTTTAAAAAGTCATCCAGCAGAACAGTCCTTATCCCTAGAGGACCCACTACCAGTCCCTCAACTGCTTCTGATGTTTCTTCTCACTTGAAGACATAAAATACAGTGTATGGTAAGCTTTGAATGAAAACATACTATCAAAGGCAGAGACTGAAAGCTGCCATTTTTTGTTGTTGCTGTTGTGTAGTAGCTGACGCTCGTATTCTGGTGATTCTACTGTCCTGCCTAGTTACTCTGCGCACATTATTTTTCCACTGTATTAATGGTATGTCATAATTTTTGTTATGTTCTTAGGCATGAATTTGTGAATAAGAGTAAGAAAATGATTGCTTGTCAGTAGTATATGAATTCAGAGCCAGGAAGATGGTGGTGCCACAAAACTACAGATTGTCCACATGAGATCGTGACACCTGTGCTTTCTGATGGTTCAATGTATGTAAACTTTGTTTCACGCACAAACTTATTGAAAATTCATATAAAATTACATTCAGGCTATGTATATAAGATAGACATGAAACATAAATAAATACCATGTTAGACCTGGGTTCTGTCCCCAAGATATCTCATTATGTATATGCAAATATTCTAAAATCCAAAAGTACCCAAAATCCGAAACACTTCTGGCTCCAAGCATTTCATTTAAGGGATACTCAACCTGTACCATTAACCTAAAGACTTACACAACTCATAACACTAATCTATTAAAAATTTTACTTGCCTGCTAAGTGTTTCCTTTCAGATCTGGCCAGATTTTTATAAGGTGTTGAAAACCTTGCCTAACATCCACAGCTGCTTGAGCCTATCTAACAAAATGAAGGTACTAAAATAACTGGCAACTAAAACCCCATATAAATTTGTAATTTGTTTAAGAAAAAAAGCATTATACTTGCAGACAGGCTGACCCATGTAAAACTCAGCTCAGTATTTCAAAGGATCGGGGAATACTGAAAAAAAAAAAATAATGCTTCAGAACACCTGTTTGTCAAGAACATCTGTCTTGGCTAAAAAAATCACTTACAAAAGCAAAGTCTTTGTTTCAGATGGCCTCAAAAACACACTGAAAGTAGCAGAATTCAATAAATAGCATTTTATCCCTATCTAGGGTAAAATAAGTAAGAAGATCTAAAAATAACTTCGTAGATTTGGAGTAGATAAAACGCGTTAACACTTGGGCATAAATGATTACACATTTTTACCTCCTCATTTCCCCTTGAACTTAGTTTTCCCCACAACTTTTACTTTAGGTTCAGGGGGTACACATGCAGGTTTGTTATATGGGTAAACTGCATGTCACAGGTGTTTGGTGTACAGATTATTTCATCACTCAGGTAATGAGCACAGTACCCAACAAGTAATTTTTCGATCCGCACCCTCAGGTAGCCCCTGTTATCTACTGTTCCCTTTTTGTGTCTATGTGTACTCAATGTATAGCTCCCACTTATAAGAGAGAACACGTTGTACTTGGTTTTCTGTTCCCACATTAATTATCCCACATTAATTATCTTAGGATAATGGCCTCCAGTTCCATCCATGTTGCTGCAAAGAACATGATTTCCTTCTTTTTTATGGGTGTGTAGTATTGAATGGTGCATATGTACCACATTTTCTGTATCCAGTTCACCATTGATAGGCATCTAGGTTGCTACTGCAAATAGGTCTGTGATGAACACATGCGTGTGTGTGTGTGTGTGTGTGTGTGTGTGTCTTTATATTTCCCCTTGGGAATACAACCAGTAAAGGAACTGCTGGGTCAAATGGTAGTACTGCTTTAAGTTCTTTGAGAAATCTCCAAACTGCATTCAGTGGCTGAACCAATTGACATTCCCACCAGCAATGTATAAAAGAGAAAAGCATTCCCTTTTCTCTGCAACCTCGCCAGCATCTGATATTTTTTGACGTTCTGATAGTAGCCATTCTGACTGATGTGAGATAGTATCTCACTGTGGTTTTAATTTTTATTTCTCTACTGATAAGTGATGTAGAGCACTTTTTCATATGCTTGTTGGCCATATCTACGTCATCTTTTGAAAAGTGTCTCTTCATGTCCTTTGCCCATTTTTTAATGGAGCTCTTCAGGGAACTTTGGGACTATTTTAAAGACAGAAGATATTTCTTATCTTCTGCTACCTTTTTTGTTTGCTCTTGCTTCTCTAGTTCTTTTAATTGTGATATTAAGGTGTCAACTATAGATCTTTCCTGCTTTCTCCCATGGGCATTTAGTGCTATAAATTTCCCTCTAAACCCTGCTTTAACTGTGTCCCACCGATTCTGGTACATTGTCTCTTTGTTCTCATTGATTTCAAAGAACTTATTTATTTCTGCCTTAATTCTGTTATTTACCCAGTAGTCATTCAGGAGCAGGTTGTTCAGTTTCCACATAGTCGTGCGGTTTTAAATAAGTTTCTTAATTACACTGTGGTCTGAGAGACTATTTGTTATGATTTCCATTCTTTTGCATTTGCTGAAGAGTGTTTTACTTCCAATTATGTGGTCAATTTTATAGTAAGTGTGATGTGATGCTAAGAAGAATGTATATTCTGTTGATTTGGGGTGGAGAGTTCTGTAGATGTCTATTAGGTCTGCTTGGTCCGGAGCTGAGTTCAAGTCCTGGATATCCTTGTTAATTTTCTGTCTCGTTGATCTAATACTGACAGTAAGGTGTTAAAGTCTCCCACTATTATTGTTTGGGAGTCTAAGTCTCTTTGTAGGTCTCTAAAAACTTGCTTTACGAATCTGGGTGCTCCTGTATTGGATGCATATATATTTAGGATAGTCAGCTCTTCTTGTTGCATTGATCCCTTTACCATTATGTAATGCCTTTCTTTGTCCTTTTTGATCTTTGTTGGTTTAAAGTCTGTTTAATCAGAGACTAGGATTGCAACCCCTGCTTTTTTCTGCTTTTCATTTGCTTGGTAAATATTCCCTGATCCCATGTGTTTCTCTGCACATGAGATGGATCTCCTGAATATAGCACACAGATAGGTCCTGACTATCCAATTTGCCAGCCTGTGTCTTTTAATTGGGGCATTTAACCCCACATACATACATACACACACACACACACACACACACACACACACACACACGAAATATATATATATATTTATTTATTTATAATTTTTTTTTTAATTTTTTTTTTTTGAGACGGAGTCTCACTCTGTTGCCAGGCTAGAGTGCAGTGGCACCATCTCAGCTCACTGCAACCTCCACTTTCTGGGTTCAAGTAATTCTCCCACCTCAGACTCCTGAGTAGCTGAGACTACAGGCCCATATCTTAATAGTACCAAATCCTCAGACTTGAACTTCTTTCAATAACCTAAACCTCTTGTAGAAGCACAAGTATATGACGCCATCTAGTGGATAAAATACAGAAATGCACAAATTCTTAGCTAAATGAAAGCAGAGCTCAGGTCTCCTTGTAATGACCAAGTCAATATCCTGTTTACTAAACCATGCAGACTCCTCAGAGTTAAGGGCTTGATTCTATTGCTATAACACACCTGATATGGACCCTATTATTTTAAACACTCCTTAAAAACAAAAGAAATTGACAGCCACAAAAATCTGGATGACCTGAACTCTAACCGTCAACTAGCTAAAAATTTGTGTGTGTCTATATTTTATCCACCAGAATAAAATGGCACCAAGAAAGTGTCCCAGATTTTCAAAATAACCATCAGATGTAACTGGTCTGGAGAGCTATCTCCCTTTTTGTGACACAAAGCACCCATTAGTCATCTCTGCAACTTTCTCAGAACTAAAGACATTCCTGACATAAGCATGTGCTCAGAAATTATAACCTGAATTAAAACAAATCATATGACACTACCCTTACTGCCCTCCAAATAAACATACACAGCCTTAAATTCTGCTCAGGTACCTTTAGTGGGTGCAGGTTGTAAACTGATAATTGGCTGCTGCTTTGCCAATGGCATAAGTGTTGGTACTGTCTGAATAATGATGGTTTTTGCTGGAACACTGGAGTTTGTTTGAGTCTTGGGTGCTGCTGGAAGCAATAAAGGCTTGGGCTGAATCGAAGGTTTTGAATTCACCTGAATTTTTTTCTTTGGAGTCAGTCCATTTTCTGGAGAAAAACCAGACCACAAGTCAACTTGAAGGCAATTACACAAGCCCTAAAAAACAGATTCTATCACATACCTTTCTCTACACATTATCTTAACTTCTGAGTAACAATCTTTAACTGGAGTTTAAGCATAGCTACTATACATATACCTGAATGAACTGAAGAAAAGTACTTAAAATTACCTTCTTTTATAACCAAGCTGCAGTTTGGGGAATGGGACATACTAACTGGTAAAGGAGAATAGCTAAAATCACAGAATAAAGCCCAGAGATTAATGAGGTAACAAACGTCATAGTCGAATGGCCCTCCATTCAGTTATCTTTAACTGAAACTTTGAAATCTGTCCTTAAAATGATGGGGTCTGAGTCTATTTTAAAGTATCTTTCACATAAAAAGACAGAGACAACCAAAGATTATTTCTCCCCTTTCCTCTCCACAGTAATCACAACAAACAAAATAGCCAGCTTAATAAACATATACTTAATCCAGCATTTTCTTTTAAAGAAATGGAACCTAACCTCAATCTGAAATAGAAATAACAGAAGTTAGGAGACAGAGTAATACCAGTCTTGTTCCTAGGACTAGTGACAGGCTTATCTTCCTTCAGTGGCTCTGCTGAAGAGGGACTATTAGAGCTTTCACCATACAAGGAAGGGGGAGACATCTGAGAAGTAGAAGACAAATCCAACTCCTCCTGTAGCAAAATTAAAACAAAAATTGATGAGTACAATCCTTAAGCAGTAAATTGCACAGAAAGAGAAGAGACCCATATATGAACAGAAAAATACCTCAAGGTAACTTCAAGGGAAAGGTATCCTAGAAACTGTATCTATATATTAAGTACCAAGTGACTATCAGCATGAGCCATCAACACCAAAGGAAAAATAACTCAAAATGCAGAGTAAGTCTATGCTATCCCATTACATTAAAGATACAATTGTTTCTACATTTCTTTGCACAAACTACACACACACACACACACACACACACACACACACACACACACACGGTTCCTAGTCACACATTCAGTATCATTATAAGGTTGCAGTTAAAATGCCAATATCCTTTCCCCATAATCTCTTTTAGTCTTAAAAGAATATCAAAAGCAAAATATTTTTATTTTTATCCTTTTCTATTTTGCAATACTGCCTTTGTTCTAAATGTTATAAAAGAAAGATGCATGAATGGAGCAGTGCTCTTTTTTTTTTTTGAAACAGAGTCTCACTCTGTTGCCCAAGCTGGAGCGCAGTTATGCAATCTCAGCTCATTGCAACCTCTGCCTCCTGGGTTCAAGCGATTCTCCTGCCTCAGCCTCCCGAGTAACTAGGACTACAGGCGTGTGCCACCACACCCAGCTTTCACCATGTTGGCTGGGCTGCTCTCGAACTCCTGACCTCATATGATCTGCCCACCTCGGCCTTCAAAAGTGTTAGGATTACATATATTAGCCACCCTGCCCAGCCAGCAGTGCTATTTTCTTTAATTTAGTGAGTGAATTCATAGTGATTGAGATACATAAATGTAACATTCGAATTTTTCCGAAGTCTTTTAATATTCAGTGACTCTGTCTCATTTTGTTAGAATAAAAAGAAACACAGGATAAAAGCAGCAATTCAATTCAGACAGAAAAGATGGCATGTATGATCAGGCAATAGACATAATCTCTGCTTCATACCATCTTCAAAATAATCTATAAGATTATAACATAAAAAGAAAATTTAAGAGAATACTTGTTTACTCTCAGGATGTTGCAGACCCTCTTATATCAAAACACCCAGAAGCCATAAAGGAAGAAAAAATAGATTTGAACAAATAATAATTAAAATATTTAACAATAAAAACTAGACTCAAAACAAAGTTAAAAGATACATATTGGGAGAAAATGTTTGTGAAAAACAAGCAAAGGGCAGGAACAGCCATTTCACTGAAAAGGAAATGCAAATGGTAGCCAAGACAAATTTAAAGTTTTTTTTTTAATCACAAGAAAAATTAAAACAACCTGGAGAGGATATGAGAGAAAGAGACACGCTCAGTCTCACTGGTGAGAGTGAGAGCTGCATCTTCATTCATCCTTAACACCTACTCAGCACGTATGCTGAGCAATATGTAGAGTGTATTAAAATATATTTCCAAGAAACCAAAGAGTATAAAAGAACACGGGAGGAGACTATTCTCTTCACGGCCTTTGATTGATGCTTGAAAGATATTCGATAAAACTCGACAAGTATTTCTCAACAAAATCCTAGAAAACAAGGATTAGAGGAATATTTTCTTAATATTAAAAAGCTATGAGTAATTATACAGCAAAAGCCAATGCTGAATGCATTACTATTAAAGTCAAGATAAAAAAAAGATACCTGCTTTTTCTGTAATTCTAGTATAATTACACCAAAAAAAGGAAATTTTAAAAAACATTAAAACAAAAAAGACAGAGTGTGTTTTAGCAAGGTAATATGCTATGTACTAGAAGCACTGTAACAATCCACTGGAAAAAAAATTTGACCTTGAAAATACTGTATTAATAATACTCACTTAGAAAACATAATAAAAAAATAAATATTTCAAGCCAGGCACAGAAAGACAAACATCACATGTTCTCACTTATTTGTGGGACCTAAAACCCAAAACAACTGAAATCATGAACACAGAGTAGAAGGATGGTTACCAGAGGCTGAGAAAGGTAGTGAGAAGCTGGTAGTGAAATGAGGATGGTTAATGGGTTTTAAAAAAAAAAAAAAAAAAAAAAAAAAGCTGCTGGGCACGGTAGCTCATGCCTGTAACCGAAGCACTTTGGGAGGCCAAGGTGGGTAGATCACAAAGTCAGGAGTTCAAGACCAGCCTGGCTAGGATAGTGAAACCCTGTCTCTACTAAAAATACAAGTATTAGCCAAGCGTGGTAGCAGGCATCTGTAATCCCAGCTATTCGGGAGGCTGAGGCAGAGAATTGCTTGAACCTGGGAGATGGAGGTTGCAGTGAGCTGAGATCGTGCCACTGCAATCCACCCTGGGTGACAGAGCAAGACTCCATCTCAAAAAAAAAGGAGAAAGAATAAGACATACTCTTTAATAGCACAGCAGGGTGACTATACTCAGTAAGAGCTTAACTGTACATTTAAAAATAACTAAAAGAGTGTAACTGGATGGATTGTTTATAACACAAAGGATAAATTCTTCAGGGGATGGATACCCCATTTTCCATGATCTAATTATTTCACATTGCATGCCGTGTCAAAACATCTCATGCACCCCGCAAATATATATGCCTACTATGTACCCAGAAAAATTACAAGTAAAAAAGATTTTTAAATAAAACAAATAAATAAGTATTTCATTCACAATGGTAATAACAATTACAAAATACCTAGAAATTTTCTAAAGAATGTGCAGGATCTATATGAAGAAAACTACACAACTGAACTAAGAGGCATAAAAGAAGATCTGAGTAAACAGAGAGGTACACAAACATTGTTGAATAGAATGATTACAAATGATTATAAAGATAATACAGTTAGGAAAACTGGTTCACTTCTATAGAGAAAATTAAAACTAGATCCCTACCTAATGATAGATCCCTACCTAACACCACACATTAAAGTGAACTCTAAGAGTATTAAGAAACCTAAATGCGAAAGGTAAACCATATAGTTAACAGAAGAAAATGAAGATTATCTTTGTAACCTAAAAACATAGAAGGACTTCTTAACAACTTCAAAAATAAACCATAAAGGAAAAGAAAATAAAGATAAGCCTAAGTAATTCAAAATTAACTATTTATACTTAATAAAAACTACAAAGTTAACAGGTAACAGAAAGGGAAAAGATGTAGGCAATGTCTAAATCCAACAAGAGTTTACTATTTCAAATATACGAGGAATTCCTACAAATAAACAAGAAGACAACAACTGAGTAGAAATTCTAGGTATATACCCTAAAGGATTTCTCACATGGGTCTCCAAGGGAACATTTTTTAAAATATTCATTGTGGTGTAGGTAAAATGTAGTGAATGCATACTTAAATGTTGTACAGAGTTAGATAAAACAGATTTGATGTACACAGAGCAACGGACAGGAAGAAACAATGTATAAAGGAAAAAGAGTACAAAAAGCTCTTAAGAATCTAAAGAAATGTTGAATACAATAACAAAAGAAATACAAAATAAAACAAAGTAAATGCAAACAACAACAAAACATATTGTGCCATGGGGCAAAAATTAAAGCCAGACAATGCCAAGCATCAGAAGAGTAGTCACAGGGATCCTCAGGCACTGCTGCCAGCCTACAGAGTACTATGATGATCTTTGAGAGCAATATGCAAGCACCTGTCAAATTAAATACCTGCACATTTTACCACCCAGCAACTCTAGGCATAAATTGGATTTCTCACGAGTCCACAAGGAAATATCTTTTTAAATATTCATTATGATGTAAGTAAAATGTAGTGAATGCATACTTGAATGTTGTTCAGAGTTAGATGCAACAGATTTGATGTACACAGAGCAATAGGAATTGATCCCAAAAACACTGTGCTGATTTTTAAAAGTAAATAATACAAAGATATCTACTATATCATTTACATAAATTTAAAATATATGCATATAATTGAAATCAGATGAACTTTTTAATAAATTGTACTAGAATAATCCTTTTGATATTCATTTGGAAAAACATAAAATTGGATTTGTATCTCGTATCATACACAAGGGTAATTTCAAATAGATCAGAGATCTAAATGCTAAAAAGAATATCTTATGATAAATACATATTCATAGTCACTTAGAAAAAAAATATTCTTTCCTGAATAATTTTATCCTACACCACTAGATGACGCAGAGCAAGACCATCACCCATGCAGAGAAGCAGCCTGGTGGAATGTCAGGGTCCAAGAACTGTAGAGGGGGCACTGATATGGTAGGCAGCCTGCCATGAGGAGTCAGAGCAGAATGAAGGTGGCATCCACATGGGAGACAGCCTGGTGTAAGATGTCAGAGACCAAAGGAGACATGTTAAAAGAACATAAGAACTGGTTTGAAGGGATCCTCACTGGCAAATCCAAGACAATGTAAGATCAGAATAAATAATTATAGTAATGGATTATAAATCTGTTGGATAAAATAAGAAACAATGAGTCCATACTGATATTGACAAATAAGTGAACAAATAAAAAGAAACAGGACATTTTTACATAGTCTTAAAGTATCTTCCACACAAAATATTTATGGCAAAGAGAGAAAAAGCAACTTCGCAATGGAATAGGTTGGCAGACACCATCTACGAAGTGATCAAAGTGAACATCATCAGTATTAGAAAAAATCAAAATCGGGTTATCAAAAGTAAATGAGAGGGACACAGCACTTCTGTGACATTCCTGCCACAGACATAAAACCTGAATCCGATCCTAAGGAAACATGAGACAAACCCAACTGAGAAATATTCTTCGACCAGCCCCTAATCCCCAAAAGTGACAAGGTAAAGAAAGTCAAGGATTAATGAAGAAGTGTTTCACACTGAACAAGATTAAAAAGACAAGACAACTATATGCAATGCTTGATTCTGAACTGGATCCTTTTGATAGTCTAAAGGACACCTCTGGGATATCCGGCACAATTTAAATGAGAGCTGAAGGTTAGATTATAGTAACATGTCAATGTATTTTCTGATTTTGTGCTTGTATTATGGCTATTTAAAAAAATATGTGTACTTGTAGGAAGCAGACACTAAAGTATTGGAGTGATAGGGCATTGGACTAGCAACTTACTCTCAAGTGCATAAGGGAAAAACAAATTATTCGGAATGTACTCACAACACTTTTGTGAATTTGAGATTGTTCCAAACAAAAAAATTAGCATAAACAAAAAATAAGAATAAAAACATGAATGAATTATAACCTCTGAGTGGTAAAAAACCTTCCTTTGAGTGACAAAAAAAGAGGCAATAAAAGAAAAGATCAATAATTTGGCTGTAGAAAACAGTATACCTGGGGAAAATAAACACCAGAAATAAAGAGACAGAAGAAAAATTGGGGAAAAAATATTTCCAGCTTAGGCCAAGTGTGGTGGCTCACGCCTGTAATCCAAGAACTTTGGAGGCCAAGGCAGGCGGATCACCTGAGGCCGGGAGTTCAAGACCAGCCTGACCAACATGGTGAAACCCCAACTTTAAAATATAAATAAATAGGTCGGGCACAGTGGCTCAAGCCTGTAATCCCAGCACTTTGGGAGGCCGAGGCAGGTGGATCACGAGGTCAAGAGATCGAGACCATCCTGGTCAGCATGGTGAAACCCCATCTCTACTAAAAATACAAAAATTAACTGGACATGGTGGCGCATGCCTGTAATCCCAGCTACTCAGGATGCTGAGGCAGGAGAATTGCCTGAACCCAGGAGGCGGAGGTTGCGGTGAGCCGAGATCGCGCCATTGCACTCCAGCCTGGGTAACAAGAGCGAAACTTCGTCTCAAAAAATAAATAAATAAATAATAAATAAATAAATAATATTTCCAGCTTATTCCACAAACTAAGGACTAATAACCCCAATATATAATAAAGCACCTAAAATATTAAAGACCAATATAATTCAATTAAAAAATGAACAAAAATTTGAACTGACAGTTCATTTAAAAAAAAAAGAAATGCAAATAGGCCTTAAACATATAAAATACATGAACAGATATTTAACCATACTTATAATAAAAGAAATATAAAATAAAACCTATTGTGGAGTGATGATGGGAAAACAGGCGCTCTAAGATACTGCTGATGAGAATGTAAAATTTTACAACCCCTATAGAGAGAAATTTGTCAATATCTAGCAAAATTCAAGTGTATTTACCCTGGTGTCAGCAATCCCACCTCTTGGAATATATCCCAAAAACATCCTGGTAAAAATATGAAGTGACTTATGTACCAGGTTATTTACTACAGCTTATTCGAGTCTGGAAAAGACTTATGCACTGGTTATCTGAGTCGAGAAAAGACTAAAACCAACACAAATACTCATCAATAAGGAAATCACTGAATTAAGCATGATATGGCCATACAATGAAATATTATGTAGCATCATGGGAAAATTATATACTCTGAAATTAGAGTTATCCTGCTAAGCTAAAAAAGCAAGGTATAGAACAGGGTATATACTATGCTGCCTTTTGTGTAAAAAAGTACAGAAATGACAAGGATAGAAACCAGGTTTTTTTGAATATATCTTATTATGTAATTTTGACTTTGAAAATAAATTATTAATTCTAAAAAAATTAAATCATTGGCGAAATTGTGGGACGGGACCTCAGAGAGCTACAAATAGTAGCAATCAGAGAAAAGTTTCATAAAGGAAGTAATTTTTGAACTGGGACTTGAAAGATGAGTTTTCCAAGATAAGAAATAAATGGGGCTATTCTAGGCAGAAGAAAGAGGATGTACGAAAACCTAGAACTGTAAGAGCAGCGATGTCACTGCTGTTGTTCACTGCCAGCATCTGGAACAGCGCCTGGCACAGTGGCTGAATGAGTGGAGTGCATAGAGCTCTCAGGCAGGAACTCTCACAGGGCTCAAGTTAAGGGGAATGTGGAAGTAGGTGGGGAGAGCAAGAAAGGAGACTGGAAAGGTAAATGAGGAACAGATCATAGGGGCCTAGTACTCTTGAGAATTTAAATTTCATCCTTGTAGGGGCTGGGAAGTTATTAAAAGGTTTTAAGAAAATGACTGATACAGTCAAGCTTGTGATACTGAAATATTGCTCTTTGAAGATTCCTCTGCTAAGAAAGGTTTGAGTAGTTGGCAGGCTAACAGACAAGTTAAAATCCTATTGACTTCATCCAGGTGAGATGGTGATGGCCTGGCAGGACAGAAAAGATGAATCCTTGAATTAACATGTGCATAAAACCACCAGGATTTAGTAACTAAATGTAGAGCCGGCAGGAACAAACAACTTATAGCACATACAATATACTAAAATATTATTTGAATTTTTTATTTTTATACTTTCCCCTTCCCCATTCTAAAAAGTACCTAAATCAGGTACTTCCTTTTCCTGGCCTGAGGGCTTTTGTCTGGACACAGAGCAGAAGCATTCTTAAAGAGCTACGGCACTTCTATAAAAACATCAGCCTTTGAGGAATCACCACACTGTTTTCTATAATGGTTGAACTAATTTACACTCGCACCAACAGTGTAAAAGTGTGTCTGTTTCTCCACATCCTCTCCAGTATCTGTTGTCTCCAGATTTTTTAATGATCACCATTCTAACTGGCGTGAGATGGTATCTCAATGTGGTTTTGATTTGCATTTCTCCAATGACAAACAATAAGCATTTTTTCGTATGTTTGTTGGCCGCATATATGTCTTCTTTTGAAAAGTGTCTCTTCATATCCTGTGCCTACTTTTGAATGGGCTTGTTTGTTTTTTCTTGTAAATCTGCTTTAGTTCTTTGCAGATTCTGGATATCAGCCCTTTGTCAGATGAGTAGATTGCAAAAATTTTTTCCCATTCTGTTGGTTGCTGGTTCACTCTAATGATTTTTGCTGTGCAGAAACTCTTAAGTTTAATTAGATCCCATTTGTCTATTTTGGCTTTTGGTGTCTTAGTCATGAAGTCCTTGCCTATGCCTATGTCCTGAATGGTGTTGCCTAGGTTTTCTTCTAGGGTTTTATGAAGTTAGTTTTTATGTTTAAATTTTTAGTCCATCTGCAGTTAATTTTTGTATAAGGTGTAAGGAAGGGGTCCAGTTTCAGTTTCCTGCACATGGCTAACCGGTTTTCCCAACACCATTTATTAAACAGGGGATCCTTTCCCCATTGCTTGTTTTTGTCAGGTTTGTCAAAGACCAGATGGTTGTAGAGGTGTGACATTACTTCTGAGGTCTCTGTTCTGTTCCATTGGTCTATATCTCTGTTTTGGTACCAGTACCATGCTGTTTTGATTACTGTAGCCTTGTAGTATAGTTTCAAGTCAGGTAGTGTGATGCCTCTAGCTTTGTTCTTTTTGCTTAGGATTGTCTTGGCTATGCCGGCTCTCTTTTGGTTCCATATGAAATTTAAAGTGGTTTTTTCCAGTTCTGTGAAGAAGGTCAATGGTAACTTAATGGGGACAGCATTGAATCTATAAATTATTTTGGGCATTATGGCCATTTTCACAGTACTGATTCTTCCTAACCAGTAGCATAGACTGTTTTTCCATCTGTTTGTGTCCTCTCTTATTTCGGGGAGGAGAGGGACAGTGGCGAGGGGTGGGGGGGCGTGGAGGATGGGAAGGGATAACACTGGGAGAAATGCCTGACGTAGGCAGGGAGGAGGTTGGGGGGATGGAGACAACAAACCACCATGGCATGCATGTACCTATGCAATAATCCTGCAGGATGCAGGATGTGCACATGTACCCCAGAGCCCAAAGTAAAAAAAAAAAAAAACTAGCCCCTTCTAAAGGTAGCACTAGGCATTCCCAAACTAAGGCAATCATTCTAGATTCTGTGGCTAAAGAGATATAAAGACTGACCATATTACATTCTTCTATGTTCATATATAAAGAACGTGTATTCTAACAGGAAGGAGAAAGAAAGGCAGGGAGAAGACAGTAAGCCAATAGACAAAACAATACTGGATACTGTTAAAATGCAATGAAACAATGAAATTATGGAGGCATGAACAGAAGGGAAAGAGGGCAAAACCAAAGGCACTAACAACTGTCTAGCTCCCACGGGCTTTCTTGAGTCTCAGTTCAACCCTCATTAAATGAGAGAATAAAACTCATGGTAGTATTCAATAAATGTTAACTGTCTCCCCCATATATCTATTTTCCAGATAGCATTATAACCAAAATCATTGTAAAAGACTGGCTACTCACAGGAACATGCTGAGTTGAAGAATAAGAGTCCACTGACTGAGGAGACGAGACTGAATAACTTGAGGAGGCTGGAGAAAGTGGCTGAGGTTCTGCCTTAATATCTTTAACTGGAAAACATAGAGGAAAGGTTTTACCCACTGGACAACAAAAACTTAGAATAAAATGAACAAGAAAGAAAGTAAAATATTTTAAAATTCAATCAGATATGGAAGCTAAGGTCACCAAAATACAACAAGTGAAAATGCAAGATGCAGTATCTAGTATGCTTACACTTGTGTAACAAATTATGTATGTGTGGGGAGGGCTGCGTGTGTGTACACTTGCATCTGTACTAATTCTCTGGAAGAGTAAACAGAAGAAACTGGTAACAGCGGTTGTCTCTGGAAAGCAGAACTTGTTGGCTGAGGAATAAAAGCAGGAGACATTTTTCTACTATACAGATTTTTGTACCTTATGAGTATTATACCACATGCAAAATATTATAGATTCCTAAAAATTTAATTTAAAAAAAGAAACAGGAAATAATTATTGTGGAAAGCATGTTTGACAATACAATTTAAACTCATAAAAAATGTTCCTATCTTTTAAACCATGAATGTATCCTATAAAAATATACTGAGCAACTATGGCCCAGGCAATGTCCCTTGGTGTCAAAGATAGAACAGGGTAGGGATGGCAGACTGTGTTTTCCAGAATTAGCCATATAATATCTACCATCCGGCATGATCTTCCCTCGTGATCTTCTATAATGTGATCTTGCAACTTCCCCACCAAGAAGTAGAGTCCATTTCCCCAGCATATGAATTTAGGTGGGCTTGACTCCTTCAATCAAGAAAAGACAGAAGTAATGCTATGTGAATTCTGAGGCTGGAAATGCAGCCTCTGCTTTGTGTGCTGGAACACTCACACTTGGAGCCTTTGAAGTCTGACTACCCTGAGACCACCATGGCTTGTGAACACCATGCCACAGAGAGAGGCCCTATGCAGGCACTTCAGTTCATAGTCCTAGTCTTCAAGTCATTCCACCCCAGGCGCTGCACATATGAGTGAAGAAACCTCAAGATGATTCCAGCCCCCAAATGTCAAGCTACTACAGTCTTCGAATCTCCCTAGTTGTGGTCTGGACATCATGGAGCAGAGACGTGCCATCGGAGCACCCAGTCAAAATTTGTGACCCATAGATTCTAGCAATTTAATAAAATGGTGGTTGTTTTAAGCAACTAAGATTTAGAGTAGTTTGTCAAACAATAAAACCAGAACACTGACCTTGTGTATCCCACATTCTATGAAGGCAGACAGGCATGAAGCAATATACTACATAAAAATAAAGAGGAATAGGTAGGGCAGGGGAAGGGGGAATTCAGATAGGATAATGTGCTGCTTATTTATTCACTGTCTCTCAGCACGAAGTCCACTTTCTATAATCTGTGATACAAAGTATTCCCAGCTGGCATCCTTTTAAGTCCTGTCAATAGGAGATACTAGAAAGATGCTAGAAGCGAGGAGAAGCGGTAGTCTTCATTCTACCATCAGCTGTACCCCAACATTAGCAATTTGCTCCTGGTTTCAGCTTCTTTCAGTATACTCAACCCCGACTTCATCAGGCCCCCTTAAAGATAGTGTCAGCAAGGTGCTTCCCCTTCTCAGAATTACATGTGTTAAATGCATGGGAATTCCTCTACCAAGTTCCTAGGTTCTGGTAACCCAGCCTCTTCCCTTGGATTCCCTGAGCCCTGTCTGGTTCTCAGGTTAATCTTATATAGAGACATTATTCAAAATTCAAAATCGACATTTCCATTTCTGATATGAACTATTTATTCGTTCATTACACTACTGAAACATAACTATGAAATTCCTCATATCCATTTTTGACAAGAAATTTGTTCACACAATTGCCATACCAGAAGTAGAATGCACAACACCAGGAATCTTTTAACCTATCAACATAGCCCAATAACCCCGCCTAATTTTGAGTAGGACCAAACTACAAAATAAAATTAACCTGTTTAAAGCTTTTACTAGTGAAACACATAATTACCTGTACAGATTTGGTTGTCAATGTCCCAAATGTCTGACTCCCAAGGCATCAAATTCAAATCAAAATCAAGATGATCAAAATTGTTTTCCTGTAGATTTCAAATCACCAAAAGAACATTAAAAGAATAAAATATATACATCTTAAAATCAAGCTATCAGACACAATTTGGCACAAATAATATAACTGCTATTAGCCAACCCAGTAAAATGAATATTCTAAGTCAGTCTTGTATGAGAATACATCTTGGATAGCCTAGAGATTCAGTTACCTGAAGCACAGCAGTAACAACTAGGAAAGAGGTAAGGGATTCGGTATTTAAAAGATTCAGTTGGCTTCACTCTTTTCTATAAGAACAGACCTTTACAGGAGTCAAAATGGTGTCTTTTATCATAAGAGAAGTCTGGCAAAATACATTTTCCCATTGCCATTAAGAAAAACAAGACAAAGCAAACGCTATTCACAATATAATCTCTATATGAAATAGAAAGAATATAGACATATTCAAAAGACAGGCAAGAATCATAAAGAGGGTAGTTACCACTGAGTATTTCTCCTTTTTTTCTACTGTTCTATACATCCTAAATTTCTAAAACGTTTACGAATTAAAAAAAAAAAAAAACACTTGTTAATCCTATAATATACTTTTTAATCCTATAAAATAAAACTAAGTTTTTCAAACAGGGGTCAGCAAACTTTAAAGGCTCCATTAAGTGCTTTTCATTTAGATGGTTTTTCTAACTGAAATATAAGCATATTCTGGGTCATCCAGGTGATCACCTTATACTATATACATAAATAAAGAAGTGTCACATCATTTCAGAGCCCTCATGTAAATCTGAGATCAAGTTAGTACCAAACAGTACTATTTTAAATTAAATGTCTGGAGTCACAGAGACAAAAAGAGAAGTAAATTTAATATACAAATAATGCAATAAAGGCAATAAATATTAACTTAATGTCACAGATGATAAAATAGCAACAACAGGGTTGCTTGAGCCCAGAGATTCAGTATCAGCCTGAGATACATGGCAAAATCAATCTCTACCAAAAAAAAAAAAAAAAAAATACAAACACTAGCTGGGCATAGTGGCATGAACCTGTGGTCTCAGCTACTCTGGAGACTGGAGTCAGAGGATCATTTGAGTCCCAAAGATGGAGGCTGCAGTGAGCCAACATCATGCCACTGCACTCCAGCCTGGGAGGCAGAGCCAGACCCTGTCTCAAAAAAAAAAAAAAAAAAAGCAACAATAAAGAAAATATGCCTCAGGCAAAAAAAAAAAAAAAGGAAAAATGTAATAACTGGTAACGACCGTTCGTTAATAATTTCTAGAAGAGTGTTATTATTTCAAAATGACTATTATATGGTTCATTTTTATTGAGACTGTAACAGAAACAGGGAAGGGAAACTATTTTCTTATTATAGTGCCCATAACTGAGTAAATATTAGTACAGGGTAAATAAAGAGAATATGTGGAAGTGTATATGAAAAAAAAAACTATTTAAATCATAAAAGAACCATTTTTAAGGCCGGGCGCGGTGGCTCAAGCCTGTAATCCCAGCACTTTGGGAGGCCAAGGCGGGTGGATCACGAGGTCAAGAGATTGAGACCATCCTGGTCAACATGGTGAAACCCTGTCTCTACTAAAAATACAAAAAATTAGCTGGGCATGGTAGCACATGCCTGTAATCCCAGCTACTCAGGAGGCTGAGGCAGGAGAATTGCCTGAACCCAGGAGGCAGAGGTTGCGGTGAGCCGAGATCGCGCCACTGCACTCTAGCCTGGGTAACAAGAGGGAAACTCCGTCTCAAAAAAAAAAAAAAAGTAGCTGTGTACCTCATACTGGCGAAAAAGAAAAAATGAATTTAAAAATGAATAAATTAAAAAAAAGGAAAAAATCAATCTCCTTCACTTTTTTTTTCTTATTTGGATCTACACATCAAAAAATTAAGCAGCCTTGGCTGGGTGTGGTGATTCATGCTTGTAATCTCAGCACTTTGGGAGGCCAAGGTGGGTGGATCACTTGAGCTCAGGAGTTCAAGACCAGTCTGGCCAATGCAGTGAAACCCCATCTCTACTAAAAATACAAATATTAGCCAGGCATGGTAGCACACACCTGTAGTCCCAGCTACTCAGGAGGGTGAGACATGAGAATCTCTTGAATCCAGGAGGTGGGAGGTTGCAGTGAGCCAAGATCACACCACCGCACTCCAGCCTGGGCAACAGAGTGAGACTCTGTCTTTAAAAAAAACAAAAAATTAAGCTGCTTTGTACTTTTAGCAACCAAAAAATCCGTAAGCTTTCTTAATCTATGTAAAGTTATCAATGCTACATGCCTAAGTGCCAGCAATACTTTTAAATAAGGGTATGATCTACTTCAAGAAACTTCAGAGTCAATCTTCAGCCAAGTCAAATACCTTCTAGAGCATAAAGATTTTATCTCGTCAGAAATTTAATGGGCCCAATTTATGCAAAATGAAACATACTTATATACTCTAGCTCTTCAATGACTTAGCACGGGAAATTCTACTACCATTTGGAAGAAGGATGACATGAGGGCTCTCAGAGATTCAATCCCTTCATGTTATACCAGAAAAAATAAGGAAGTGAAAGATTGAGTGCTTTGCATAAAACAATAGAATATTAAGTCATAAAATCAGGAATATATTTCCCTTAATCTTTCCAATTACACACACAGTTTCTTCACATAGTTTAAAAGAAACACTTTCCTTTAGGATTCTAGATGTTATGAAATACAAATATCAACTGCTTATTTAAATAGCCAATATTAAAAGGCAATTTAATCAACAGGCCACATTCTAAAGTATCTCATGGAGTAAATGAAACCATTGAAATCCCATGTACTGATTTTCTAAAATACATCATGTGCTTCATCCTCTTCTGTTGATTCATGGTAAAACAACTGCTAAATCATTATTTAAGAAATATCTGAAATTCACTAAGCAATCTGTACACGTTTTGTACTCTAGTTACTAAGAGCTTAAAATGATGTGATGATAGTCAACGTGACTGACAAATTACTTTGCTCACCTGAATTATTTCTTCAATGAAACAGCACCTCATCCATTAAGGAATAAGACAAAATCAAAGTTCTACAGGTCAAACAGCTTAATATGTACTAATCAATAAAAGAAAATCTAAGATATTTTTGAGGACCCAGAGTGTTAAAATAGTTTTCACACAGACCTCTAACCAAAGGCAAGGATATACCTACTCTTCAGAGCTTTCTACATAAATATACAACTTTTAAAAAGGAAGTTGGTAAGTTCTGCTTGACATACCAACTTAGTCAAGCAGAACTTACCAACTTCCTTTTTAAAAGCAAATAATCTATAAAAACCAAGAAGTAGGCAGGTTAGTGACTTTTCTAAAGTCACCCACCAATTCCCTTATGTACCAAAGTATCTGTAAAAAAGAAGTAGGTAGATTAGCAACTTTTCCAAAGTCACCCACCAATTCCCTTATGTACCAAAGTGTAAAAAAAAAAAAAAAAAAAAAAAAAAGTAGGTTAGTGACTTTTCCAGAGTCACCCACCCATTCCCTTATGCAGCAAAGTACCTGTAAAAACCAACTAGGCAAGTTTTTACCTAGGGCCAAAGGTGGGCCTAGAATACAAGTCACATACCAAGACCAATGCAATTTCTACTGTCCTACATTTGCTGACTACAAAATGGCTACTAACTTTCATACTTCATGGTAGAAGCTATTTACCATGAAGAATGTAACTTAAATCACTAGCCTAAACCTGTTGTCCTGAAACTTTCTTGCAATAATTAGGGTTAAAGACTAAATATCACATTATTCAACCTTCGTAAATACTTACATAAGTCTCATTGGCTGAGTCCAATTGCAGCTCATCAGTGTCTGTGAAATAACCGAGTTCAGCAAATAGGGCCGAATCTTTGGACAAAAGAATAGAGATTAACTGTCAATTCAATTACTTGACAAAGAAACAAGCACTGTACCCCTATGTCACCTCTATTAAGGTTTCTTATTAGCCATTACTATTATTAATAAACTCCAGAAATGTAAATGACAAGCAATTCAAAGCTCGTTTCCAACTTATGTGTTGTTTTCTGCATAATTTTTATCTTGTGAGCTGAATTCTTAGACCAGGGATCAAAAAAGATTTTATGTCATATGTCATGTAAGACTAATTGGTAATGGCTTTATGGAACATTACTAACAAGAATTCAGATGCTATATTTGGGTCAGCATGAAAAGTTAATGTGGTTCATAAGTAATAATAATAGAGGACTAAGGAAAGCATGCATGCACTGCATATTTGTCATCCATGCCTTAAGTTAAGGGTATAACCAATTTTCTATCTAGACAATAAAGGATTTACTCATCTAAACCATCAAATTCATTTCAGCAAATCTAACTATATTCCAATTTCCTAATGAGGTTTCATTATAAACCAAGAAATATGTGGATACAAAAAACATTCTTCAATACACTACACTGAAAACTTTCTGTAGAGAAAGGTCAAGGTGTTGACCAAGGCCCAAGAAGGCTGCTTACCATAGAATCTATGAAGTTCCTATTTTCTGTGACACTTTCAAAACTTCAGGCACTTTGAAGAGTTTTTCAAAACTAGGTCTTCCTTTGTACTCCTTATCTATTACACTCCACTGAAACTGCTCTGATGATTTCCTCATTGCACAAGTTTAGGAAGTACACTGCCAGTCTATTATTAACTTGACCAATTACAGTACATTTCACCACCCTAAAACAAAACAGTATTTAGCAAAAAATTTTATATGTAGTAAATAATAACCAAAGGTTACTCACATGACTGTCAGAAAAGACTACTCAGCTGCACAGCTAACAAACAGGTAAGCAGAGGACTGTGGCTTATATAAGCTGAAACTCCTTTAAAAAGTTCTCTATTTGGGCTTTCTCATTTCTTTCCTCTCATTCATTCTTGAACCTGCTCCAATAAAGCTCCCCCTCCACATACACACATTTATTAATGTCTCCAGTGACTTCCATATTGCATAATTCAATGGTAAATTCACATTCCTCATCTTACTTAACCTGTCAACAGCATTAACATAGTTGATCTTTTCATTTTTAACTGGAGCATTTTCTTCACTTGAGTTTCAGAATACCACACTTACTTGGTTTTCCTCTCACCTCACTGGTTGACCCAACCTTGCTGGTTCTTCCTCATCTCCCTAACATGAAACTGTCCCTGGGCTCGGCATAAACATTTCTATCTATCTTACTCCCTTTGTAATCTCAGCTGAGCTCATGGCTTTAAATAAAATCTATATGTCAAGGATTTCTAAATATACATCTCCAACCCACACTTCAAGATGCACGTACACTAAGTACTGACATCTCCTCTTAGATGTCAGAAGGCACCTCAAACCTAACATATCCAAAATGAGTTACTCATCAACCCCACCAAACTTCCTACAGCTTTGTCCTCAACCCAGTTAATGACAAATGAATTTTCCCAGTTGCTCAGGCCAAAAACCTTGGCATCATTATTACTTCATTCTTTACTTCTCTTCTTCACTCTCCATATTCAATCTACCAACAAATCCTGTCAGCTCTGTCCTTAAAATATACATCTGCAACATTGCTTCCTACCTTTCCTCCCATTCTTCCTTCCATTCCCAACCTTCCTTTTCTTCCCTACCAGTCCCATCACAGAGATGTCAGCTTCCGAGGAAGCAGTGCAACAAGGGTGATGGGGTTTTGTGCACGGACATCTCCAGCAATGTGCCTGATATCCAAGGAAATACGACAGTGTAGGAGAGACTATTGCCCAGCAAAGGTGGCAGCATGCCCCGGCCCAGTGGGAGGGGGAACGGAGTGGCAAATGGACAAGGCAGCCTGAGAGGATAGAAGACTGGTCATACTTAACAAATATGTTAGTTGATTGAGCAAATGGTTGAATATATCTAAAATAATCAGAATGTTCTGGTTTCTCTCCAGAACAAATAAATCTTTGGCCTTTTACTAAAATAAATGGAGCCAGATTTCTCACAGTCTGAGAAAGAATTTAAGAACATGGAAAGAGTCAGGAGACTAAAAGAATCCTGCCGGGCGCGGTGGCTCAAGCCTGTAATCCCAGCACTTTGGGAGGCCGAGGCGGGTGGATCACGAGGTCGAGAGATCGAGACCATTCTGGTCAACATGGTGAAACCCCGTCCCTACTAAAAATACAAAAAACTAGCTGGGCATGGTGGCACGTGCCTGTAATCCCAGCTACTTAGGAAGCTGAGGCAGGAGAATTGCCTGAGCCCAGGAGGCGGAGGTTGCGGTGAGCCGAGATCGCGCCATTGCACTCCAGCCTGGGCAACAAGAGCGAAACTCCGTCGCAAAAAAAAAAAAAAAAAAAAAAAAAAAAAAAAAAAAAAAGAATCCTAAGATGTTGGATTTGAACTGAAAGCATTAGTAAATAAACTCATTTAAAGTATATATACTTACAGATAGCTATAGAAATACATATATATGTACACATATATACAGATGTTTGTATACACACACACATATACATGTATATATATTTCCTAGTTATGTCTGCTAAGAGGTCCTAGAAGCAATGATACTCCAGTAGCAATGAAAATACTGGGTGCCCAGATCTTGGATACTAAATACCATCTTCCACCAAATGGAAGTTCACTAAGGGGTTCCTTGGAGAAACGACCAATTCCAGGGCTGCGGCAGGGAAAGTGCAAAGTAAGCCTGGAAAATCTTGTTGTGCCAGAAATTCTCAGCAAATGATAGGAACATGTCAAAAAGAACAAAGGCCCCAATATGAATGAACTCCCAGCAGTCAAATCTGGGAGAATCTGAGCATCAGAATAAAATGAGAGTAGCAGTTAACCAACCATCAAATAAAAAAGGAGTCAATTAGCTCATCACGGAAGGAAGGAAAAGAAGGAAGGAAGGAAGGAAAGAAGGAAGGAAGGAAGGAAGGAAGGAAGGAAGGAAGGAAGGAAGAAAGGAAGGAAGGAAGGAAGAAAACAAGCTAGCTAGCTTCTTATAGTGCAATGTCAATTAACAAATATAGACAGAATGATAATGAGAGTTAAATAGTTACCATTTGGCAACCATTAGAGTAGTAACTGATATAGACTGGGGTTATCAGTGAGTGTAGGGCTCCTGGTTAGAGGTTTAATAAGAAAAGGATATTGGTGTCATGTCAGATTATCTTCCCCAAAATAGTAATAAAATACAAAAGGGGAAGCAGTAGATTTACAGTGGTGAAACCTGGAAGATATCAACTTGACCAAGTGATCATGTGAATGTATCATAGGATGATGTGATGGCATAGAACATTATATTTATACTATAATGTAAGCTCTCATTTTATTTTAATGCTCAAACTCCAGATTTGACCACTGGGAGCTCATTCATATTGGTTCCTTTGTTCTTTTTGACATGTTCATTTGCTAAGAATTTCTGGCACAAGATTTTCCAGGCTGATTTTGCACTTTCTCTGCACTTCTCCAGCCATGAATTGGTCATTTCTCCTAGGAACCTCTTAATGGTTTAGAATCATCTTGTAGAATAAAAGACTTGCACTCTTCTAGATGGGCATGGTAGCATGTGCCTGTAGTCAGTCCCAGCTGCCTGGGAGGCTGAGACAGGAGAGTCGTTTGAATCCAGGAGGCAGAGGTTGCAGTAAGCTGAGATACTGCCACTACACTCCAGCCTGACAACAGACCGAGACTCCATCTCAAAAAAAAAAAAAAATCAAAGCTAGGCATGGTACTTTGAGCCTGTAATCCTAGCACCTTGGGAGGTTAAGGCAGGATGACTGCTTGAGGCCAGTTGGAGACCAGCCTGGGCAGCACAGCAAGACCTTTGTCTCTCCAAACTATTTAAAAATTAACAATGAACGAGGCCTAGTGGTGGCATGCACCTGTAGTCCTAGCTACTCAGGAGGCTGAGGTGGAAGGATCACTTGAGCCCAGTAGTTCCAGGTCACAGTAAACTATGATTGCACCACTGCACTCTAGCCTGGGCAACAGAGTGAGACCCTGTCTCTAAAAGAAAAAAAAAAAAAAAAAAAAAAAAACACCCAAAGCAATTCCCACAGAATGAAATACTAACAGACATTAGTATTTCAGTCTATTGCCAACAAACTCTATCCTACTTACTGAACACCTAAGGAATTTAAACTGTTCAAAGAGAAGACTGAACAGTTTGAAAAGGGAAAACTGAAAAACAATGGAAATGCGCACATTCAGGGAATGGCAGGGCCAGATACCTGACAGAAGTGAGTCAGTGAACTGACTATAAAAAATTGAATGCTCTGTAATCAGATCAGACAGGAAAATGCAGCCTGGGTATCAGAAGGCAACACAAAATAATGCTACCAGGAAGTGTCCCACAATTATAGTTTAAGCAATGTCATGAAAATATAATAGCTGACTAGCTGACAAAACAAATCATAACTACCCAATATATTCAAGTAGTATTATTAATAACCAGGGATCTTATGAAGAATAAAATCTGTAGAAACGAGTTAGGAAAGCATTATAGAATAGATACTAGGGGTACAGGCTTTGGAGGTAGAAAAACCTGGTCTGAACCTTCTTCTGCCACTAACTAGCTCTAAGAATCTGAGCACAAATTCTGTTAGCCTCAGTTTCCTCATCTCTAAAATAACATTGGGAGGATTAAACAAAATACTGCATGTAAAGAGTTTAGCAGGGTGCCTGACACAAATAAAGTGCTAAATAAATGGTAGCTAACACACTGTTCCTAATACATTTGGCTTGGGAAAACGGGAATAGAAAGTCTAAAGTTTTCCAGCAACTCTTAGAAAATCTACCCAAGGATTGACATAAATCTCCAATAGAATATAGTTTTAGAGAACATTTGCCCTTGAAAAAAATTAAATGATGACTTTGTTCAATAAAAAGTTGAGACTCATGCTATTGAGAATGCTGGTCCAAAGGAGAAAGATAAATGGGGTTCTCCCCAGTACCGAGGCTGATGAGTGGTCTAGGCTCACTGGGGGCCCATTTGGGAACCTACACAATCCCACATTCATATTGGAACCTAAGAACAATATTACTTTTATGTCTTGCAATCAAGAGGAAAATGAAAGTTTCCTCTAAACACTTGGATAACAAAGCTTCTCCACTCTGATTTCCGCTTCATTCCATTCCACCCTTCCTGACCACCAAAACGAAACAAAATATCCATTAAAAAGAAAATTAAGAGCTGTATCTGCAGAGCAGTCGGGATTGCATCATAAGTATTAGGTCTAGCAAAGCAAGGACCCGAGGTCAGGTGCTTTGGTGTTTTCTTTTCTCCCAAGATGGACACGAGGCTTAAACCAATAGTAAAAGCTGTAAGATTAGGATTTCTTGTATATAACCACATTCTCCCATATACACCCACTCCACTGTGCTCACCGCCCACATTTCACACTCAGGAAGAAGCTTGTAGCCTATTTGGAGGTCCCAGCCATCTTGCCCTAAACCTCCTAATAACGTCCAGTGTTAGCCCCACGAAAAGATCACCTGGTACTTCCCCAGCGGAAACAAGTGAAAAACGATACTAACTCCAGTTAGACAATAATTCCACTCGCCCTGTGGCCAGGACAGAAACCGAACGATCCTCGCAGACTCTGTGAGGAGCACGGACGGGAGTGACGAGTGGCCTCACTCCCCAGGCAGGGTTGGTCCACACCTGTCACCACGAGTAGCGGAAGTAGGGAGGAAGAAACCTGTAGACGCGAACGCGAGCCACCCTGGTACATTCGCAGATCCCACTCACCCCAATCTTCATCCAGCCGGTGAGAGAGCCCCGGACTAAAAGGTGACTCCATGGTGCCGGCAACACCAACCGGCTCCTCCATGTCACAAGTTCCTCGGCCCTGGAACTCGGTGACTAATATCTGGGACGGCGGCGGCTGGCGGACAAAATACTCTGTAACGCTGACGAGACGGTGGCCGATTAAAGACAAACTGCCTCTGCCGCACGAGGGCTTTGTAAGAGACGGGAGAACATCAGAGACTAGGCAAATTTGGATAGACCTGTGAGTAAATATTTGTATTCTGGAGTTTCCAGGACTTTCTGTCCGGCAGTTTTATGGGGGAGGCGAGGGGAGACACGCAGACATCGCTTCGACTAAACAAAATTTATTAATAACATTAAAAATAAAAAGTAAAGCCCCTTTCTGAACATTCTGGCTTATTCCTTGATGATCTTTCTTAATACCACAGCGTAGATACCTCAGAACAAAATTACGTAGAGGCTAACAGTTAATTTAGTTTAATTTTTATGAATAATTCTCTATCAGTGTAAAAATTCTTCATATACGCTTGTATGACAAAAAAAAAAAAAAAAAAAAAAAAAACCACTACTATTTTTCCACATTCGTTGAAACTGTTTAACTGGCACAGTATCCGAGGTAAATGGTTCTATAAAACATAACTTCTAGAAAGCCTACTTTTATTTAAATGAAGCAAATGTAAAAGATAAACCCCCAAAATTTATCTCCTAAAGATAAATTTCTAAAACATAGTATTTAGTCAAAGTCCAAGCGACCTACAGTAATCGAAGTTCCCAATCTTTATATTACTAAAGGTTCGGATTTTATTTAAAAGAAATTCACACACATCACGAACTCCAACTGAAAATATGAACTGAGTTTGATAAAGCAGTTTCAAGAAAGCTACTTAAGAGAATTTCTTTTTCATCTATTTTAAATTTCAGCGGCCAGTGAATATTTAAAATACTGTGACTTAAGAACACGTATGCCTCTAGGGCCATGTGGAATCTTTCCCATGGTAGGTAAGCAAAACAAATGTGCTTCCCAGAATCCTCCAAACTGCTCGTGGCCGGTTATTACTACGGATTGCATAATACAGGATCCCTCCCGGACGCGAGTCCAGAAAAAGATTATGAAATCCCCTGACGTCATGTGTGACTACTTTTGTCACCGGAAAACTAATAAATTTTCATTTAAGGTGAATGTTACTTTTTTATAACACTTTTATTCTCATCCAATTACCAATTCAAAAATTGACATAAAAACTAAAATAAGGCCGGGCGTGGGGGCTCAAGCCTGTAATCCCAGCACTTTGGGAGGCAGAAGCGGGAGGATCACGAGGTCAGGAGTTCGAGACCAGCGCCTGTAATTCTAGCTACTCCGGAGGCTGAGGCGGGAGAATCACCTGAAACCTGGAGGCCGAGGTTGCAGAGAGCTGATATCGCGCCACTGCACACCAGCCCGGGCGACAGTTCGAGACTCCGTCTCGAACAAACAAAAATAACTAAAATGAAAAGCGAGTCTTCTATATCCCACCAGACTTTTAAGAAAATCACCGTGACAAATCGCCAATTTTTTTAATTTCCGAAAGTTTTTATTTTTTATTCAAAAAGTGCAAGTAACTATGAAACAAACATTTTGACCTGTCACCAAGAATTTAAAAATTTAGCGTTTTTAATTTTTGTCCCAGATTTTTCGTAAGAAATTAAATATTATAAAATTAAATTCCTCTTTCTTCCCTGCTTCATTTTCCTCCCTCAGCATAGGCCATTTCTACCATGAATTTTATAGGTATAAAATTTTACTTTCTTTTATTTTTATAAAATAAAAGTGGAATTCTAGTCCACTTTTATTTTTACTTTTATGATGCTTAAACATGTTTATAGATACATGCATTTAGTGGAATTTTGTTGTTTTTTAAAAAATGTATGTAAGGCCGGGCGCGGTGGCTCAAGCTTGTAATCCCAGCACTTTGGGAGGCCGAGGCGGGTGGATCACAAGGTCGAGAGATCGAGACCATCCTGGTCAACATGGTGAAACCTCGTCTCTACTAAAAATACAAAAAATTAGCTGGGCGTGGTGGCGCGTGCCTGTAATCCCAGCTACTCGGGAGGCTGAGGCAGGAGAATTGCCTGAACCCAAGAGTTGGAGGTTGCGATGAGCCGAGATCACGCCATTGCACTCCAGCCTGGGTAACAAGAGTGAAACTCCGTCTCAAAAAAAAAAAAAAAAATGTATGTAAACTTGCTGTACTCTAATGTTCTGCAAATCACTTTTCTTATTGGACATTACTATTTGAGGATATATCCATGGTATTTCCTTGAATAAATACATATATCACAATTTATTTTTCCATTTCCCTAAGGATGAACAAAATTTGGGTTGTTTCCATTGTTTACATAAAATATATCCTTGCATGGGGTCTCCTTGTGCATATATGCAAAAATCTCAGTCTCTCTGTTTTTTTTTTTTTCAGACAGGGGCTCACTTTGTCCTCTAGGCTGGTTTGCAGTGGCACCGTGTCAGCTTACTGCAGCTTGATCTCCCAGGTTTAAGCAATCCTCCTGCCTCTGCCCCCAGTAGCTGAAACTACGGGCACCCACCACCACACCCAGCTAATTTTTGTATTTTTTGTAGAGACAGGATTTTGCCATGTTGCCCAGACTGGTCTCAAAACTTCTGAGTTCAAGCAATCCGCTCGCCTCTGCCTCCCAAAGTGTTGAGATTACAGGCGTGAATCACCTCGCCCAGCCTCAAGAATGTCTTTAATAATGTATGTACTATTTGACCAGTTTACACCCTCGCTAGCATCGATGAGTTCTCTTTGCTCTCCATATTCTCTCCAACACTAGAAATGGTCAGACTCTTACCATTTTTACTACTGTGAAAATTGTAATTTACATTTCCCTAGCAAAGTGGTGCCTTTTTCCATACTTATTAAACCTTATTTCCTTTTCTGTGAACTGTCCACTCTTACCTTTTATGAATTTTTTATTTTCATAGTTTTATAGTTTTGTTTTTCACATCCTTTTTTTCTATTTGGCTATTATTGGGGTATAGCAACACTATCGATTTTTGTACAGCAATCTTGTACCAAAAACCTTGCTGAATTCTGTCATTCTAATATTTTGTCTTTGCCAGGCACAGTGGTGTGCACCTGTAATCCCAGCTTCTCAAGAGGCTGAGGCAGGAGGATTGCTTGAACCCAGGTGTTCAAGGCTAGCCTGGGCAATATAGCAAGATTCTGTCTTAAAGAAAAAAGTAGTGTGTGTGTGTGTGTGTGTGTGTGTGTGTGTGTGTGGTGTATGAAATGGTAGATGAAAATTAAGATGTGATAAAAATAAAAATGATTTTTTAATGGTCTAAAGTTCTTTAGGGTTTTTTTATGTAGAAGAACATTATGCAAATACCAACCTTTTAAATTCTTTTATTTAATGTTTTAATTTTTAAAATAAACTTAGTATGAGTATTTTCAAACAAACACAAGAGCTGATATAGTGAATCCCCATGTTCCTATCACCCAGCTTCAGCTTCAAAAATTTGCCATTCTTGTTTAATCTATCCTGCCTCTCCACAACTTTTTTATTTTGCTTTGTTTTTTTCCAGGATTTTTTTTTTTTTTTTAATGGAGTCTCACTCTGTCACCCAGGCTGGAGTGCAATGGTGCAATCTCAGCTCACTGCAAACTCCGCCTCCTGGGTTCAAGCCATTCTCCCGCCTCAGCCTCCCAAGTAGCTGGGATTACAGGCACCTGCCACCACAACCAGCTAATTTTTGTGGTTTTGGTAGACTGGGTTTCCCCATGCTGACTAGGCTGTCTGGAACTCATGACCTCAGGCAATCCATCCACCTCAGCCTCCTGCTGGGATTACAGGCATGAGCCACCCTGCCCAGCCTTCCTGGAATATTTTAAAGCAAATCCAGATATTATATTATTTCACACATAAATACTTCAACCTTTATCTTTTTTTTTTTTTTTTTACTTCAACCTATATCTCTAAGAGACAAGGCCTTTTCTTTTTATTTATTTATTTTTTTTTTTTTGAGGCGGAGTTTCGCTCTTGTTACCCAGGCTGGAGTGCAATGGCGCAATCTCGGCTCACGGCAACCTCCACCTCCTGGGTTCAGGCAATTCTCCTGCCTCAGCCTCCTGAGTAGCTGGGATTACAGGCACGCGCCACCATGCCCAGCTAATGTTTTGTATTTTTAGTAGAGACGGAGTTTCACCATGTTGACCAGGATGGTCTCGATCTCTTGACCTTGTGATCCACCCGCCTCGGCCTCCCAAAGTGCTGGGATTACAGGCTTGAGCCACCGCGCCCGGCGGCCTTTTCTTATTTTTAAGAAACATACTGATAATACCATTATCATACCCAACAAAATTAGTAATTCTTTAATGTCATCTGACACTTGTTCTATGTTCAGTTTTCTGTCTTAAAAATGTCCTTCCTTCCAGTTAGTTAAAATCAGGATCCAAACAACGTCCTCACATTGCATTTAGTTCATATGAAAATTCCCTCTCCATTTCTTTCCCCCATGCCATTTATTGAAAAATCTAAGTCATTGGTCCTATAGAATTTCCTACTTTGTGATTCTGCTGATTATGTCTTCATGTTGGATGCTTAATTTGTTCCAGAAACTGCCAGTGGCATCTAAAGGCATGAATGGATAGTTTTTGCTTTTGTTTTTGTTTTTGCAAGAATACTTCATAGGTGCTCCCTTGCATCATAGCAGGCAGCATACCCATACTGTCCCACTTTTAGAGATGTCGAGATTTATTAGTGAGTTCAGATTTTTTCCTAAGTCTTAAACTGTTTTGCCCCTTGTTTTACTCCAATGGTTAGGACCTCTAATACAACACCAAAGGTAGTGGCTAGAGTAGGCATCTTTTAACTTGTTTTTCAATTTTAATATGAATGTTTGAAAAGTTTTACCACCAAATAAGATTTTTTCCCATAGATTTTTTATATACACTGTGATTAAGGGAGCTTCCTTCCACTCTAGTTGCCAGGCTTTTCTTTTTAAATCGTTAAATCTTGGATGTTACTGAATCCTTTCTCTTGAATCTACTCCTCATTCGTTTTCAACTTAAACCCTTGGAATAGAAATAAAATCTGAAAGAGAACTTTATATCTGGAGACAATACCACCCTTTGGTCTAGGTAAGAGGTGCTCCTACCCTGGA